TTAAATTTTCAAACAGATGCAACCTACAATTTCTCTGTAAAAAATAAAATGGCGGCAGAAATTTTTAAACGTCGCATGGCGCTTGCGATACTTTGGCCTGAAGGTGACGACTCATCGATAATCTACACTGCTACTCCATTGATCGGGTTATCAAGGATGCAACTATTCCGCCTCTAAGGCCACCCTAGGAAGTATCTTTTCTCGTTGAAGGCGTTTTTTATGCGTCGACACTCGTTACCTTGAATGTGGCTTGAATGTGGAGGTCATCAGTTAGATGTCTGAATTTTGCGCGTGACGCGCAAAATTCAGGGTACCGATAAGGATCGGATTTCAGCAGCAGTTGTTAGTTTGCCTGAACTGTTCAAATGGATTTGATACAAATCTGGATCAAAATAACTCGAATTTACGAAATTTCGACTGGTGAGCAATAACTGTTCAGCCGCGCTAAGGAAGAACGCCGTATGAACATTCGAGAGTTGCCAAATTTCCTTCGATAAAACGTTTATTTTTTAGGAAAGCTATGAATTTTTTTCCTTCAGATTTTCAGAAACTTTAGGTGAAATTGCGAACAAAATTATACGAAACATTGAAAGAAAAATATTCATAAATTTAACAAGAAATTCGCGTTTTATGAGAGGAGCTTTGGCAACGCCTGAAGGTTCATACGGCGTTTTTCTCAGCACGGCAGTGCTCTGTTTTGCTAAGGAAAAACGTGGTATGATCGAGAGTTGCCAAATTTTTCCGGATAAAAAATGCATTTTTGAGGAAAGTTATGCACATTTTTCTTTGAAACTTTCAGCTATTTTAAATCGAACGGCGAACAAAATTGTCTGGAAAATTTGAAGAAAAATATTCACAATTTTCCCAGGAAAATCGGTTTTTACAGAAGGAAACTTGGCAACGTCTGAAGGCTCATACGGCGTTCTTCCTTAGCACGGCGGCAGGCTGGTTCCCATTTTCAGCTGCCAAACTCAGCGTGTGATCCCGGCATCACTGTGTTTGCTGCGTCTCCGACTTCCTCCTCGCTAACCGAGCATCATTTTCCCGCCGAGCGTTCGCGATATGCGCAGCGCTCGCGGAAAATCGGCGAGTCTCGGGGCAACTCGCGAAAAATGCTTTCCCGGCGGAGCGCAACGCGGCTGCCGCGGCACCGTGGTGGGGCTTCGGGGAAAAAATGACCCGACCGAACCGAACCGCCCGGGTGGGGTTGCCGCATCACCCCGCGGGGGGGGGGGGGTGTTGAGCTAGGGGAGGGGTGCAGGGGGATTGAACTCGCGACTCTCTCCACACGAGAATAAAACTGAGCAACCAAGGTCGCCGCGCATCTCGGTGCACGGATTGTGATGAAAAATCAACGCTATTCCCCTTTTAAACCCGTGTAAAATATTTCGATTTAATGGCACGGCCTGGCAACCTCGCCGCGCATCTCCGTCATAGCGGCGTTGCCGAAATCGGGAGGTTGAACTTGGACCCCGGCGTATTATTTTAAAGGAAATCGAGGGAAATAAGCTCGATGTTGAGGTCCTCGGGTACTAGGTTTAAAATTTTTTTTTTTTTTTTTTTTGCTCAGAAAAATCCATTCATTTTTACAGAGTTTCAGGGGTTGAGTGTGCATACCTGCAACAAAACCCGAAAAATTTGGAGAGGAACTCTGAAATTCGACACATGATCATTTTTCTCCTGTATATAATTTTCAAAAATTAGTTTTAATTATTTCTAGGTTTTTTTTTTTTTTTTTTTTTCCTCTGAAGTTTGTTCAAAAATTGCATTAAAATCAATAAATCAACTGTGAAGTTTCTTTGGATAATTTTTTTTTTTTTCGCATTTAAATTTAATTACTCGGTATTATTACATTCGGATCATTTTCTTTTGATTTCAAATTTTGCACAGGAGAGCGCTAGTCGAGTTCGGTCAAGAGTTCGCCCTAACTTATTTTTTCCCTCAAGAATGTGGCTTGGTTTCGTTATGGCCTTACCAGGTTCAACTAGGGAGTTTCCGGACAGGAAACAAAAAAATATTTGTCAACGAAATTTGGCAGCGTGGCTCAACCGGAGGGGAAAGGTGGTTGTGGATAGCGCGGCACATGGCATTGTAGCAATGTTGCCAGGCAGCAGTAATAAATCAATTGTTCGTGTAATATGAGAGTTCAAAAAGACGAGACTCCGATGTTGCCTTCTTGAAGATAGGTGGTTTCTGCGTTGCATAGCTGCGAAATCTCATTTATGGTGCCTAATTTGGCGACGCTGCGCTGATGCGGCAGCGTCTTCCGTCGTGAGGACCAATGAGATGAGGACAGCTGCCGCTCACCGTTTGAAATTACGCGCGAACTATTTGAAACCAGCGCGCCAAAAAAGAATCCGCGTCGCTTGTCTAATGAAGTATGTAAAGTTATTGATAGTTTATTTAATTTCTAGATTATACATACATACGAGTCGCTGTTATAGCGCTCTTTGGCGCTTTGCGACACCTAATCGCCACAAAGCTCGGTCTTCCCACAGGCCATCAGGGAGCCGACACTCCCTCATCTCACTCAACACCCCCTGTCGCCAACCTCTCACTGGGCGTCCCCTACGAGGACGAATCCCCCCTACGAATTTCTAGATTATAAGGATGATAAATTGGACTATAAAACGCGCGCCAAGCTATACTGCCGTGTTAAGGAAAAACGCCGTATAGACATTCGAGAGTTGCCAGATTTCCCCAGATTAATTATGTATTCTTTTAGGAAAGTTACTCGTATTTTCTTCGATATTTTCAGGCATTTTAGATCACATAGCGAACAATATCGTCTGAAAAATTTGGAGCCAAATATAAATAAATGTCCAGTTAATTCGGTTTTAATTGAGGGGAATCTGGCAACGATTGAAGGCTCATACGGCGTTTTTCCTTAGCACGGCAGTATACTTCTTTTTCCGGTAAGGCTTGGACAACTCCGTACTGTAACGAAAAGTTTTATGAACACACAGACGTTATTTAATGTTTTCGGTTGAAATACGAATTTTTTTGGGAAACTGGTCTTCTTTTTAAATTCATTCAAGGATTTTATTCGATTTTCAGTTATATCGGAGATCTATCGATTCTCGCACCGTAATTTAAATCCATACAACAGGAGTTCACGTATAAAGCTTTCAAAACCAGGAAAACGCAAAAGAATAAAAAGAAATCAATTTAATATACCTGTGTAGGTACTTTTTGTCAAACTACCACGAAAGGTTAAAAAGGGAATAAACATTCTGAACTCAACTACGCGGGCAGAGAAAAGCAACTTCATTGAAAATAAATTGGCCAGATTTCAAAACAGAATCCTCAAAACCTAAGCTTCGCCAGAAAACCGTCAAATTGCGGAGAAATTATTTGCTCCATTACGTTCTAGGTTCTAGGCTGTACAATCTAGAGGTGTGCGAGCCTTGACGCTCCTTCATCTCGGTGGGTAGGCAATAGATGCTACAAATAAGACTGCTAGGAGGACTGACGGAGAGAAGATGTCTAATGCACCGTACTAATACGTTGTTAGAAAAAGCAAAAAGCAATGAAATAATTTTTTCACGGTTCTTTTATTTTTTTTTAACTTCTAGCCAGAGGCATTTGACGAAGAGGAATCAAATCATCATAGTATTCCAAGCCTAACTGTTGCCTGAACTTTTAATTAGTGCCAAGAAGGAAAGACCACAAGCTTAGAGCTAGTAACTGCCCCCCCCCCCCCCCCCCCCCCCCCCCGGCCCCAGGTTACATGTTTTCTGATTTTTAGTAGATTCTCACGCCATGTAGCTTTTTCATGACCCAAAAGATTTCAATGGTAAGAATATGACATTTAGTATTTAATGAAATCCAATCTTTCAGAGGATTATTTAAACTCCTACAAAAGCAGCCATACTAGCTAGACTCTCTGAACTCGATCCTTGGAATAAACAAGGTATCTATGTTCAGATCTGATCAATGATACTTTTTTTCCATTTAAAACCATTTATCATAGCTCTGTTGCTTTAGAATTATTTAGGGTCATATTCTCTTTATACTAGAGTGCCCACAGTTCATTTTCATACGGTTAGGTAAAAAAAAAAAAAATTTGGTTCAGTATTTTGAGACACGTAGGCTTATGTTCGAAATGTTGTAGTTTTCCTGTCATAACTTGTTTTCCTAATGGAGGATCGATCGACTATACTGTATGACATTTTGTATGATTTTTCTCTGAACTTTCATAAATATATTCTAAATTTCCCTGCAAAAATATGAGGCATTCCGCATTATTCTCTTGAAAGTAAAATCTGATTAGAAGTTTTTAAACTCTTAGATTTCGATACATATTTTTGTAGTTTCACAACTACGAAGTTGAACAACTAGTTTGTGGATCAGAGAAAAAGTGTATAAATCCATCTTGTAAAAATCCACTCAGATGAGGTGATTTGATGCTGAAGTTAATATCGACAATGAAACTACAGAAACGAGTGACATGATTTGCGACGATGTAGACTTCTGCTATAACTTTACTGCATGAAATTTTGCTTGATTTTTCTCTGAACTCTCATGAATATTTTCTGAATTTCCACGCAAAAATATGCGGCAATATTCTCTTGAAAAAGTAAAATCTAATTAGAAGTTTTCAAACTTTTTAGATGCGAAACATATTTCTGTCCTTATACTATAGGATCGTAGAAAAAAAGGTATGAATCCATCTTGCAAAAATTCATTCAGAGAGGTGATTTGATGCTAAAGTTAATATTGATGATGAAACTGCAGAGATGAGTGTCATGGTTTGTGACAATGTAGACTTCTGCTATAATATATTTCCTAAATCGAAAACCACTCAAAGGTATTTCTTGAAAATTTTGGTGATTTTTCTTATTCAGTGAAAATTCCAAGCTATTATGTTGGTTTCATCTCCTTTTAAAGGCAGTTTTACAGGGAATATCCGTTCTTGCAGTTTCACCGGTGCTACATGCCTCTGATAAAAGATGGTTCAAGGGCTGATGTTTAGTATCATTATAAGAAAGAAAACAACATTTTGATAACTGTTGGATGTATTGTATTGAGTTTTTTGAAACACCGAATTTTTAGGTGCAGTACGATTATAATAAATAGAAAAATGAGGAACAAAACAAAAACGTGATCAACATTAGAACGAAAAAACGATTACAGTGAATAGTGGAATAATTTGACGTTTGCTCAGATGGCACAACTAGATGTGTTTTGTGATAGGATGTGATGGTGCAAGAAGCTGCCGCTTAGACATTTAGACTCTTGGAGAGCGAGCATGAAAGTCCAGTTCCGTCTGGTTCTACGTTCAATTGTGTTACTTTGCCATCATCAATGACCATTGAGTAACGCTTGGATCGGGTACCGCCCAAAGGTGGAATATCAGTATCTAATTCGAGAGCTTTTGTGAAAGCTGCAGAGGGGTCTGCTAAGAGTTTCACCTGCAACAATGAAGGAATAAGAATTAAACAAAACGAATTTAAATTTGTCTTCCAATGGCTTACAAGCATAGAAAATAGGACATTTTTGGGACCTGCAAATTACTTAAGTTAACGATTGTAATTGAGGCACTGGATGCAAAAAGGGCACTTCTCAGTTGCAGTGTTTCAGAGTCTCCTCTGATATTTCATTCATTGTAATGAAAGAGTAGGCATTCATTTCACTAAAAATTTTACTGAATATTCCTTATGATTCTACAATTTTCTATGGAAAGAATTCTGGCAAAATCACCTATTAAATTATTTTCCAAGGAATTAATTAGCAACAGAGATTCTGAAACACTGCAATCGAGAAGTGCCCTTCTTGCATCCAGTGCCTCAATTGCTCCGGATAAGAAAACATTTTGAATCAAATTTTTGAAATTTTTCCTGTGGTAATTATCAAAAATAACATGTCATTGAAAATGATGTACTTCACGGTGATGCAAGTCAATAGACATGGAGACCGAGTGCTCAGTTTTGATTTCAGTTTTAGGAACTTTTCTTGTTTTGAACTTGAGAATAAGATATTTTGGCTTAATGGCTTCATTTTTCTCTTTTTATATTGAATTTGATACCTAACTACAGTTGACACCACCAAAACTGATGGGTGGTAAGGTGGGCTAGTGAACAACACGGTTCTTTGTTTAAGGGTTGAATAGCAAGTCCAGGTCCTTCGAGAGAAACAATATGAGCGGATGTTTCAACCCTTAGACTGAGGAGCAAGCCAGCTACTAACTGCGCTCCTTGCTTGCAGTTTTCAAAGCATCGATTATAGAAACATAATTATGTTTTAGGTTTGAAATTTCATAATATTGAATACTGGGATGTTACAAAAGATTTACGACTTTTTAAAACTTTTGACGAAAACTAACTTTTTGGTATTGCTTCATCTTCCTAAAGATGTTGGTGACATCAATCAATAGTGAAATAAAAAATAATAAAAAACACCATGTAAAATAAGTAAAAAATACGAAGAATTTTTTGACACACCTAGACCTTCTTTCATGTCTTCTTTTTTATGCATTCACAACACACTTTGCGATGAGCATAAGCAGATCTATGAAAAGGTAACTGCCTATGATGAGATAAGTGGCGGCAGAGGGGTAGAGTCAGGTAAGCAGCTCGATCTAATGTTCAAGAGTTGAAACACAGGTATGTTGACACATTCAAAGGACCCAGGCTCACTGAAGCCGATCAACCCTCAGACGAGAAATTAAACTGCTCCGCTGACTCGACCCTTCATCTGCCGCTTTTTATGTTGTAAACTGTAGTATTTGAGGTGCAGTTACTAGACGCACATAGTTGTTCTATAATTTGAAATATTCTCAGGAGCAGCATGGGGCTATTAGCAAAAACGGCTTGTGCCAGACCAATTAGTTGCCCAGGACTGTCTTACGGAAAAATGGGCATTAAACTCGGGGGACTCATGAAGCCCTCTTCTTGTTGGACAGAATTCCATCTACTTCGAGTTCAACACCCTTTAAAAACAAAGCAAGAAAGTTACAAGAGGCTTAATACCTTTCCATTCACATTCTGATCCTTGCCCCAGGCACCCATCACAAATGGATCATTGACCGAAACGCAGATGATTTCGCTAATGCCTTTGGATTTTAGTTTGTCTGCATCAGCCACGTAGCCAGGTAGATGTGTCTGAACAAACAAGCAAAGGAAATATAAAGAACATGTTCATTAAGAAGTCTTAATAATGAATGATATTTATCAGGCTGACGAGTTTTCTTGGATTTCAACATTTTCCATGACTTTTTAGGGGTTTTGAACGTAAGATTCTATAACTTCAATGTTTTTCCTTATTTTTTCAACATAATTTTTCATAAAAATGTTTTCCACAGAAATAAAAATAAAAAAATAAAAAAACATGGCAGTCTCCTGAAATTGAACAACATTCAAGATTCGAGAATTTACAGGCAGAGGTTCTAAAGTAAGTCGATGAAACATATGAATGAATTAGGAAATAATAACAAGGTTATGCAACAGAATTGCTTGACTTTTCAGGGTTGGGCAAAATTTTCTAACTTTTCACGTTTTCAATGACTTCAAAAACTTGTCACCCTATTTTTACTTTGCAGTATAGATGTTAGACCAATGCAATCAATTATCTAATAAAAAATTAAAGACCCGATGGCAAATACCCATCAATAATAGTAGTTTCACAGTAAAACAAGATGACACATACAATTTGGGAAATTGAATGTACAAGACGAAGGAAACCAGCTTGTGATTACTATTTAAATTGCATGCTTGAGTGCATGAATAGCAAAGAAAAGGTTGCATTATCCTCACAAGAAATGAAAATAGAAATTTGATGAGACGATTCTTTGTTGTCTGGTTGAGTGACGATGAAATGAATTTTTGTGCCGTGTAATTTGAGCTTACAGAACTAATGCCCAGTGAAAAATCAACTTAAAAAATATCACTTGCAGACAAATGTGGGCCACAGGAACATGCAGTAATTTCTTATGAAATTCTATAGTCATGAGACAGGGCATACAAAAAGACTTCATTTCCTTCTTGTAAACAAAATTAGCGACAGTATCAAGCTAAAAGGCACAGGAAGAGTTCTACTATCCAATTAAGAGTGACAGAATGGGGTAGTGCATTTTTCACAACTGAAAATTGAGCAGGGGTCTTTTAATCAGTTACGCATCGATGAGATCGTCCGATGCTTTGTTAATGTTGTTGCTGAATAATTAATGTTTTCTACCCTACATTTACGGTGTGGAGGATTTAATACAATATTAATGTCATTTATTGAAGAAAAAGGGTCCAAGGATTTCAATTAAGCTCCTATGTTACACCCCTTGGACGTGCTGGTTTTCATTTTGGTGGGTCAGACGCATTTCATTTACGGTTTTTTCTGAATATATAGTTACTAACAAGTAGAAACACTCCACTCGACAAGTCTACAAATCAACTCTTAATCTAGATAATGGCAATTGCAATGAATGTTATTCAGATAGGTTAAGAACCCATGAAACTTGTCAATTTACCTGGTTTAGGTAAATCAAGTAACAATTGGAACCTTAAAACTAGAGTAGAGGCTAATTCTAGTACTTCAGGGCACTAACATAAAAAGAAACCTTTCATAAACTCTGGAAAAGCTAAAATAATGATAGATCAATTTGCCATTATGTGAGATTCGATTTTTAATTTTAAACAGACTGTCAAGAATTTGAGATTTTATTTCATTCCTGATTTTTTTTATGATTTCCATGGGAAAATTTAACAATGAAAACCTGAAACTTCCTACCATTTACCAAGGATTCTCTTGAAAAAAACAAGATTTTTCTCAAATATTTGAGGAAAAATCAACATTTTCAATACTTTAATTGCTTTTTTAAGGCTTTGTCCACATGAACATTTTCATTGTAAGTACTTTGATCTCAAGGGGAAGAGAGAAGAAATTCTTAGTTTTTAGGACCAATTCCCTGACCAACTTACTAATTTTCTTGGATACTTATAGTTTCTAGTAAATTTCTGTTTTTCAAGTCATTGACACCATGATTTTATGAAGGCATGAGGTCAAGTTTTGAGCTAACTACAGTTAACATTTACAGTCACTTAATTTTAATGCACAGTGATGAAACGCCAATGATGATGGAGGAAAATGAGAAAACAGAGAAGAATCGGAAAATTAAAAAACTCAAACTCACAAAATAACTTATATATATATATAACTTATTTTGTGCTACTTAACTTATATATATATATAACTTATTTTGTGAGTTTGAGTTTTTTAATTTTCCGATTCTTCTCTGTTTTCTCATTTAATTAGCTCACAGTTTGTTACCTCGGTTTTTTTCCGTTAGTTTCGTTTGTTTTCGACACTTTCGGTTCGTATGGAGGAAAATGTTTAAACTTGCTTGGGCAATCTAATGACACTTACGGATTTTTGGCGATGCGCTAATTTGATTACCTATTAGAAAGCTTACCTACTATCAGTTTTTACAATCAAACTGGAAACATATCAGTCATTAAAATTTGCAGTTTTTACAATCAAACTGGAAACCATATCAGTTGATGAATTGATAATTTGCAATTTTGACTTGGATTATGCAATGTTGGTCTCTAATTTCAGCAAAGTGCTGTCGAAGTTGACAAAATATTTCTTCTTTTTTTCACACAGTTTTGCTCAAAGGACTTAGAAGTTGGCCAGTGAAACCAAACTTTGCCAAAACAAAGAACAAAATATCCAAAAACTCCAAAGCCACACTCTTCGCTATTTTTCCCACCAAGACTTAAACCTTCTTAGTTTCTTTTTTGAGTATATTGTAAAATAGATAAGAAAAAAAGCAGGATGTGAAAAGCATTGGTATGGTGGTTATGAATCATGATTAATCCGTTAGTTGAAATGATGGTCCTCCAGTATGCTTACCTTGGAACAACCTGGGGTAAAAGCCCCGGGAACTGCAAACAGAACTATTTTTTTGCCCTTTACGTACTCTGCGATATTGATTTTGTTTGCTGGTGTATCTTCATACAGCTCTGCGCAAGGAATTTGGTCTCCGACCTGTATCAGGGAAACAAAAATTAAGTTATTACCAAGATTTAGAAAATTCAAAGATAATAAATTCTAAACGAGGAAATACATTTCAGGTGCAAAACGTTGTAACTACATCGCTGTGTTTCAAAATTTTCACGCCTATCATATTTTTTTGAAGAAAAAGGAGCCGACACTAATGCTTGAGTTTATATGGAATACTTCTCTAAAAGAATACAAAAATCAAAGGAATTTTCAAAAAATTACGTTGATTTGTTTTCTAAAGAAAAAATAAACTAGGTATGACAAGAAATCTGCAATGTCAAAAAGGAAGATACTTTGTTTGGCACTTCAGCCATTTATTTGAGGCATCATTGAAAAAAAGTCAGTTCTTTCTTAAAATTTTTGGGAGCAAAAGTAAACGAATGCAATAAGCATACTGAATAAAAGAAATGAGCAGAGAATAATCTGACTCTCAACTTACTTGCATTGTTGCTGATTTTGCGGTAGTAAAAACTGAAGATGACAAACTTAATTCAACAAATGTACTAGTGAGTATCAACAAAATTTTTGAGATGTTAAAGTTGTAAGATTTGTGACGAAAAAAGGCACCTTAGGTGATTATATTACTGGATTTTACATTAACATTTAGTGCGCAAGCGAAATTTTTATTCTGACCGACTTTCTGACCTAGGTACTATTCAACAAATGTACTAGTGAGTATCAACAAAATTTTTGAGATGTTAAAGTTGTAAGATTTGTGACGAAAAAAGGCACCTTAGGTGATTACATTACTGGATTTTACATTAACATTTAGTGCGCAAGCGAAATTTTTATTCTGACTGACTTTCTGACCTAGGTACTAAAGATCTCATTGAATGTGCAGATATATAAGTATTTCGAATCCCTGGAACTGCCTCTACTGTTTTGATGAAAATTACCCGGAAAAAAATTAGTGAGTAGACAAGTGGGTGAGGAAAGTCCTGAGACTTGGTTGCATCAGTCTACTCAACCATTAAAAGATTGCATGTCCTCTTTAATGTCTAGAAATTCTCAGAGACAATGACCATTGATACTCAAAGGAAAGAGGGGAGTATTCAATGCAATAACCATGGCTATTGATAGGTATTACTCATGAGGATACCTGGAGGTAGCTGCTGGAGTCAGCAGATTACATAATCAAAAAAATTGCAGAAACTTGACTATTGCGAAGTCAAGTGTAGAACCTTCAGCATAACTTGCCGACAACTGGAGTGTTCTTTACATGAGATCATCACTTAATGAGATGCACCACTTGGAAGAACCATTCAGATACTTCAATTGACATTGTCATTCTTGATACACTCCATGCCGGTTGCAACGACTTGGAGGAGTTAGACTCGATGTCCCATCATATCAAGCAAAATACATGCTTGAAGATTACTTCGAAATAAATGTGAGGAAAAACCAAAATGATCAAAAAACATAATACTATTAAAAAGCAGTATATAACCTCATGAAAAGTCGGCATGAACCCGGCGATATATTTCAAAAAATTAACCTCAAAATTGCATTTCTGCATTGGTATCAGCATTTCAGATTTGGCTCTGTGAGATACACAGCTGAAAGCAGGATTATAATTTGGAAGATACTTACTTTGATGGGCATGATGGACGTTAAATGGAATGAAGAATTTAGAGAGAGAAACGGTTGGAGTTTGGCTGATAAAACACGACTGGCAGAGGCAGAGCTGTAAACAGACTGAAACGGTCCTCGAACACCTTGAAGGGCGGCACGACAGGAGGGCAGGACAGCTTGCATAATGATAATTATCAGATGACAGCTGGCACTAATGGATTACTTGTGTTATCACGCAATGTGTGAAGAAAATCGACGTGTCAATAGCAAGTCACGGTTTTCCTTTGTCCTCCAAACGACTCAAAAAGTAATTGAAGATGCAACTTGACCTACCGTAATCTTTGCTGCTGCCCACGTCGTGATAACACGACAGCGTTGCCCGACCACACAAAATCGAAATTAATCGTGGATTTGATTAAATGATAATTTTTTGTTATCTACTCAATGCCGTAGAAATTATAAAAAAAAGAAGGAATTCACAGGATTTTCTGGATTCTGTGCCATCTTCCCGGTTTGAAAACGAGCTTGCGTGGAAACCGGAAAATGTTGGTGCTTTGGCAACGCTGTTACGCCCTTTTTGGCGGTTTTATCAAATTGACGCACCGAACCATGGATAAGCGCAAAGATAGTGGAGAAAGGAAAGATCTTCTTTGATAAGGAAGTTTGGGATCCAGTCGCTGAACCTAGCCTCGAACCAGGAGTGAGATAACTTTGAATACATAGGCTGCAAACCTTCCGTTGAAACTTTCAGTACAATCCAACCGTTGAAGCCTGATGTTCATGCAGCGTTATTTTAGGGTTTAAAATTTTCATACTCACTCTCTATACTTGTTTTTGATGCCGTTGAATATCTTGATGTCATTTACCCAGCTCATGAATGCAATAAATCGTACTAGAAATTGATAGAATAGGTAAGTCTGTTGAAAAATATTACTCATTCCTTTCCAGGTAAAAGAGAAAAACTAAGTTCAAAAGCATCAACTTGTTCGTGGATAGAACTAATTTTATTTTAGATATTTAAAGTGTGAGAATAGATCCTGTTTTTCCCACATTTTTTTTATTTACATGACTGTCCAGTGAAACGAGGGGGTAGACTTATGCTCCTGATAATTAAGAAAATATGCATTATGCTTCGATGATCATTCTCAAAGTTTGGTCAGAATCTATCAGGATGTTTGCAAACCATTGATACCTTCCTATGAAAGTGACTTTGAGCCAGAGAACAAGCTGCACTCAGGTTTTTCAAACGACATTTTGATAAGTAATCATGAGATTTGCCACAAATCAAAATGAAAATTATCAGTGAGAAGGGAGTCTGTAATGGAGAGAAACATTTGTTAATGCAATTGTTTTCCTTTGCTTTAGGTGTCGAACAGTTGATAACATTGTATAAATTGACCTTAAAACTCGTACTATTCTACAAAAATTATGGCTTACTATGAAATGGATGTCCACACTGCTTGCGCTATGAATCAATCAGACGTTGTTATGAGATTACTAAACAGGTAAGTTATTTATTATACAGGATACGTCAAGAGAGAGAGAGAGAGCAATTTTTAGCCAAATAAAATATTTTCCTTTGAACTTTTAAAAGAATCACAAATATGCATCTACTTAAAATCAGATTCAAACTTTAATTTTTAAATTTAAAATACTTACAGTACGCCTGATCTCATTCTCATTAAATGTGCAAAAAAAGAGTAATATCCTGAAGGATCACAAGGAAAACAACTCATCTCAGTAACTTGCAAGAAAAAGCGATGAAAATGTGCAAAAATCATTTCTCTGAATTGACTTGAAATGTTCCTCCTAATTTTGAAAAGTTTCCTTGCGTTAATATGATTAAGTATTGAATAATTTTTGAGGTTCCATGAAATCTGTCACTTGTCAACTAACATATGTTTTGAGCCGCTTGTTCTATTGGTTACTTGTGAAGTTAACAAAATCTGTCTCAGATTTGTTTGCTTATATATTGATTCTGTCAGTCCTTTTTCCCTGTAAAACACACCTTCACACAGATTCAGTTCCCTTTTAGGTGTGTTACCTTGATCTTAATCACTCCTTGCTGAGAAACTCTAATCATAAAGCTTTTCCATGTGCATATTTTAGAGATGGATTAATTATGGGCTCAAAAGAAAATTCTAAAGGGTATACGCCGCTGATGTATGCATGCTGTTATGGACACGAAGATATTGTGAAGCTTCTAATTGATATGAAAGTTCCCATCCAGTATCAAAGCAAAAAATGTCATGGTAGAACTGCTTTAATGGTGGCTGCTAACCTGGAAAACTTGACTATATTGAATATGGTTTGTAAGGTGAGTCCAAAATTTACGTTTCCCTCAGACTTTGAAACCTTTTATTTGAGTGAATTTAAAAAAAATAATTATCGCAAGATAGCAGGGACTTGGTGGTTGCTTCGCTGATAATCGCTAGGTAATGTAGCTGGGATCCCTTCAGTGATCAGCATCAGATACTAAGTTTATTATTTAGCTCTACCTTTGAAATTCTCTTAAATAAATTCTGTAAAACCTGAAAGAAACTCACCAAAAGTTTTGAGGAATTGAGGAGGCTTGTTAGAAGAACGACCCATACAAAACAGTTGCCTTTGAGAAGCAGGTATATGACGTTTTCATTATTATTTTCCATCCATAGACACTGCTTACATTTAAACTTGGACACTTTTGATCAAAGTTTACTGAGGAGCTTTCCGGAAAAAGGGCCTCAGTTCAAAAATTGCCTTATTTAAAGAGAAGATGCATTACACATTTCCATTATTACTTTCTGCTCACTGACAGTGTGACTTTGACTTACATCAGAACCTAAAACACTTAGATCAAAATTCATACATCCTGGATTGACACACGACCATTAGTAGAACTTGGTATTCAGTTTTCTCAAAACGCGATGTTTGAATTGGGCCCTTTTATTTGGAAAGACCCTTAATTATGGTAATTACGGTTTTGTCAAAACAAATTAAAGGAAATTTGGCAACATGGAATGCAGTTGCTAAGATTCTGTATAAATGTATGCATTCTGCCTGTTGCATAGAAAAGATAATTCTTCCATTATCTGTTAACTTTGCAGGATTTTGTGGTAAACATTCAAGATATGAATGGTTGGACCGCTCTCCATCATGCAGTCTCAGCAGGACAATTACACGCTGCAAAATTTTTGATTTCGAAGGGTATTGATATTGATGCGAGGTAATATATAGAACTTCATTATTAAAAACATACCCACTGAGTTTAGCATAGAGGAACAAAGTGCATTTTAGTTGTACTAAGATTATGCTACTGCTCTCGAGAAACTTTCAAAGCTTAAAAAAGAAAACAATTCAGTGCACTTTTTTGTCTAATTTTTGTCTGATGTATACAAGCCCACAAACAAAACAAGACATACTTCTATTAGGAATCAAATTATTAATCAATTATTTATAGTCCAACCCATAATCCTAAACCACCTAATCAGGTAAATTAATATAACCTTTATATACTTCAATAGATAAGAGATTTAAAATTATCTATGGTTGAAATATGAATCCAATAGCTTTAATTGGCAGTTTGGTTTTCCTTTCTGAGTGTCTTTTATCTTTTTGGGTTGCTTTAATTGTAATAATAAGTCTTTTTCTCATTTAGTTCCTTTGGGGACTCCTCTGATTCTCATTTCCTTTAAACCTTTTAATGGGGCGAAGAGAAAGTTGCGCAGTCTTAGTAGTGCAAAAATACACTTGATTTCTTTCCACTAGACTTGAGCAAAATTTACTGCTATATGTATTTGAATTTGTAAACTGCCTAAGGAACAAGGGCTCGTTTTGTGATGAGATTATGAATTTTGACTTGACCATGACTTGGATGCACATGATTTTTTCTAGACTTTCTGCACTGAATGATTAAACATGAGCCTATAACAGTGAAAAATTTCAGGTATTATTTGATCATGAACGCTTCAGATTTTGGTCAATTAATGCCTTTTGAATTAAAAGTACTTCATTACAGAGAACCGGAATGGTTTGCATGATTTTTCTTGATCTCAGTAAAAAAAAAAAATACTCCCTAAAAATTTCATGTAAAAATAATAATTACATTCATTTTGGAAGGATGAAATACAATTGGAAATTTTGAAACACAGCGATCAAAATAAAAAGGTGCGTTTAGTTACACGATTGTGACATAAGCATGACTGGCTTATGAAAATGAGAAGTGAGTTTAGTCTGCCTTCAACCTTCGATCTTTTTGGCTCTCGTAAAACGAGCATTGTAGTTTCTTGGACCGTATAGTGTTTCATGGTAATTTATTCCATCTTTGAAAATACATCAATATTTTTTTCATTTTTTTTTTAAAAAAAAGAAAAAGAAAATACTTGAGGTAAAGATGCTGTATAAGGATGACCTTTTGAAATTTCAGAACTTGCAATGGCATGACAGCTCTGATGATGAGTGCTGAAGATGGAATGACAGTGATTGCTGATTTACTTCTGACGAATGGAGCAGATCCTCACATTGTTAATAATAATAATGAAACGGCATACACCATAGCATACAACCGTAATCAAGCTGGGATTCTCCAGTTACTTCAGAGTGATCCATGTAAGTGTAATATTTTAAGTAGTAAAAAGATGGAAAATTAACTTTATTGGTGCGAGAATAATTACTGCGATTCATTAAAACTTCAGATACTAAGGAGTGTTGAAGATGAATTTATGGTAAATTGGCATGGTTTTTATCCAGTGTACGAGTCACTATGGACATCAGGAAGATAGTTTCTCACTTTTCTGAGTTATAATGTACCAAAATGCATCATGAAAAAAGTTTCTGTCTTTAATTTCAAAAATTTACCTTAAACTTTCAGTTTTCTACACTGAGGTGAAAAATTTTCTGAAATATCTGCTTTGATGGACGTAAAAATTTGAAAGATAAGGTTAGGTTGAGTAGGGTGAAATTAATACCTTTTTCCTGTAAAATTGCTCAAAATTTCCCTGAGTTTTTAGCATTTTGGCGTAAAAAGTTCCCTCCCAGCTTTTCTGGCTCTCCAACTTTGATAAGACAAATTAATAAGTTGATCCTTAAGCTATTGAGTTTTTTCCGATATTTTTAATTCTAAACTAGCGTTTGTGAGGAATGTGGACATTCTAAAAACCTAATTCACTCAGTCTTGATAATAATCCAATGGAAGAACTGATGCCATGGAGGAGAAACGCTGTTAGGTAAAGGGTAAATATATCTTGAATATGGATGAAACATAGATTGAAATGGATTTTTCGTAATCAAAAAGCATTTAACTGTTACAGCTCAAGATCTTTTGGCACTTCTGACGGTGTTGCAACTTGATAAATATTGGCCGGTATTTAAAAAGCACAATATTGATTTTCATCAATTTATGACATTGACTGAAGATCACCTCAAAAACATTGGGATCATGTAAGTAAAAATTGTTTCGTTTATTAGCAGCAACTTGCTGGATTGGAGACTGTCGATGAGTATCATCGATATCAATAAGAAGTCGAAGCCAGATACTAAATCAGTAAAATCAGGGTCACTTATGAGAATAGAGAGGGGACAAAAATTAAGAACCACAATATTTATCCCAATCTAAATTTGATGCAAGATTCCATGGACGCATTAAAACTTTCCCAAATCATCTTGCAAATTAGAAAATACATAATGGCTTTAGTCCAAGTGATTCTCACTTCTCGCTCACTGAAAAACCAGAGTCTACTCAAGTCAAATCAAGCGGAAACTTATTTCCATGTGTTTTTCATGATGGAGAAATATTCCAGTACCCTGTTTTTTTGTTTCTTTTGACAAAATTTTGATGAATAAAGAACGGAAATAAAAGTGTGGGAAACCGAAATAGTTACTTGCCTGACATGTTAGTTGATTTTTATACTTAATTTGGTTTATGTAGATTGTGGTTTTTTCATTGGCTGGAAGTTTGAATTTATTAGTCATATTGTAAACTATGAATGATTATTTTTCACACATGATTTAATTTTGAAATTTTTCGATATGTTCAACGCATTTTGAATGAAATTTTGATGAAAAAACATGTGCTGTAGTACTTAATTTCTTACTTAGCCTAGTAGTCCATTGAGGTTTAAACAATGGATCAGTGCCAAGAAATTTTTGCAGGGTTGCAATATAATTTAATCGGCGTAATATATCGTGAAAAAACCAAAGAGTTTATTAAAAAGTTTAAAAAATCATTTCTTTGGGGAGAAAAGCTAATCGAAATCCGACCGATCAAAAGCTGACAGTCTAGTTGACAAAGCTAGGCAAAGTCTAAATATGAGTTCAGCCAATCAGCAAATGCCATTCCCCTCACCTGACTAGGTCATCAGTACCCGCCAAAAGTATTGTTGTACACAGGTCCTTTTATGGCATTTTCAAAACAGGGTTTCTTTGCCATTTAGGGTTTTAAAAAATCTAAAAAAATTCCTAGGAGCTTGGTTCTCTTGCTACCTGTAGCAAATGAGTTGAAAAAAGTGAATACCATTGACCAACTTTAATAAGAGATTAGGGATCTTCTCTCTTTTTCGGGGGCAAAAATTTTGCTTATAGATGATTCTGGTTTGATATAGAAAATCCTGATAAATTAGAGAACTTCCATCAAATTCTAAGCAAAAAGATTTATTTTCATGTGTCTTTTCCCCTTTTGCAGACCTTTAGGACACCGGAGAAAATTGGCACTAGCAATCTTCGAACTGAATCACAACATGGAGGCGCTTTGCAACAAGTTTGCTCTTCCCTGTCAATAATTTTTTAGCTTTTTTTCAAGCAGGCATATTTAAAGAAAGAATTAATTATAAAATAATTTTTAAAAATGTCTGTAAAAATTATAATTCTACATGTTTTTAATAATGCTTCGATGTTTGGAAAGGCTGTACTACTTTCTGTGATGATTTATTTTGGGGTTTGATATTTTTAAGCATCTCGAAATATTCATGGTGCATAATTGTTAAAATGAAATAACTTATTTTGATATTGATATATTTTAGAGCTTAGATATTTATTAATGATTGGTGTCTCTGTACATATTGCTAATTTTACACGAGCATAATCGATAGATAACTGGCTGCTTGATTTTACGTAGCAATAGGTAATTTTAAATCCTGAATATCTCAAGGAAAAGTGGTTAAAAAGTGTTCGATTGAAACCCATACTTTGACTGATATTTTTGATTCCGTATTATGATAATACTAGACTGTAAGATTGATAGAATTTTGAATGATATATTTATTGAAGGACACTATTTGAGATGTAAGAAAGATGCTTGCAACTTTGGTTTCTGACATATTTTACGCATGATTTTTTGAGATTAAAAACTTTAGAAGTTGATAATTTGAAGCTTCTTGGTCTTTAAAGAACATCAAGGCTAAAACTCAAGACCTCTCAAGATGAGACTAGGAAACAAATTTAACGGCGCTTCTGAGAGTTTACTATCAGCAGCCAAGATTTGAGAGGGTCTGTTATCGCAATAGACGATTTTTAAACTTATTTTATCCGGTCGAACTTTCCTTCTGAGTGTTCTTAATTGTAATTTCAAAAAAAGGTATTTATCTGTGTATTAAAGTAAGGTGTTCATTAGGTTTAAAAATGATACAGTATTTCTAATGAAATTTTAGCTTCTGTTATACATTGTACTGAATTAGCATAAAAAAATTGCCAAAAAATAAAAATCTAGAGAAAAAGATAATAATGCTACGAAAAAAAGAAAAAAAAATTTGAGATAATTTCCTGTTAAATAAGTAAAAGATGTTAGGTGTAAGTTTTAAGAAAAATGTAGAAAAAGATTTGCTAATTAGAATTTAGTTTTAGGTTAAGTAATATTTGTGTGTGTTTTATTAGATTTTATCCCTGAAGTTTTTTAATTAAAACACTAGAAGAAAAGCTTCAGCTACGTAATAAGCAACTTCAAAATGAAGTAAATTGAAAGAAAAAATGTAATTGCTGGGACAGCAAAAAAAAAAAGAGTGTGTATGCCTGAATATTATTATTTAAGCTCCAAAATTGTCTCAAAAATTAAAGATTTAGGTATCCTGAGAACAGCTAAATAAACTCATTTAGAAATTTGATATCAGATTGTTTTCATTTTTGACTTTTCAAACAAAAACCTTCCAGTTAATATTCTGAACAACTGAGATCTATGGTTTTGATACCATCCTTTCAAATTGCCTTTATTAAGTTGCCTTTGAAATTGAAATTCAATTTTTCCTAACTGTTCCCAAGACTAAAATCCTAATTTTTAAATAAAAGCTGCGGTGAAAATCAACAAAATACAACCAATTTAGTATGAACAAGAACATTTATAATCGAATGGTACATATTTACATCACTTACATAAGACCGGAGAAAAAGTTAGAGGGGTTCACCGCTTTTGATGAGGGCAGATTGAAGTTTTTCTTGGCTTTCGTTGCCTTATCTTTGTGCGAGATTTCGATATCTTGAAAATAAGCTATGGGCCAAAATCTGAGCTTCAAGTCGGCTGAACTGGAGGCAACGTACTGACCATCGTATGATATGTCCAATGAGTCTACTGCTAGTTCATGTTGACCAACGATGCCCAAGTGTTGACTTGGAAACATATGTGTAGCCCTGAAAAGAAAAAAAGGATATTACACGATTAAAAAAAATACTTGAATTTTGAACTCAGGCGGATTTTCAATGAATCGTAAGATAAGTCTCCTACGCCAGATGGCAGCAGAATCTATCATTAAAGAATAAGCAATGATGCTGAAGTGTGTTGGCGATTGACATAAGATTTGAGGTTAGAGAAAGCTGTCTCCAGTTCAAAATCTTTGTCTCCATCTTGCTTATATGGTGCGTTTTGTTGGATTTGCGAGCCTGTGTAAGCGGTTTTGCACAACTTTAGATTTCCGCACAAAAGAAAGCAATATTGTTTGCGGGGATGATTTTTCGAAAGATTTAAGGTGATTCGTCAAGCTCAAGTGACGTGGTCGAACTGGCATGCGATATATCGCATCTTTTAGGTCAAAAATCTCGATAGATTTTGAATTTTCAGCCAAAAAAAGGACGATAGCCTCTGCGCATGAGCCTGAAGAATCATTCTAAACCCAAAAATCAGCAAAATCCAGAGAAGTGAAAGCAGGATAGTGTTTGGAAAAAAACCTCGCATTCGATACAGAAATCGATAGCTGAATTAAGTGCGAGGTTTTTTTCCACACACTAGCCTGCTTTCATTTCTCTGAATTTTGCCGCTTTGTGGATTTAGCATGATTCTTTAAGCTCATGCGCAGGGGCTATCGTCCTTTTTTTGCTGAAAATTCAAAATCTGTCGAGATTTTTGACCTAAAAGATGCGATATGTCGCATGCCAGTTGTACCACGTCACTTGAGCTTGACGAATCACCTTAAACATTTTCATCATTTTTCATCTGTTAAAAGCTTTACAGGCAGAAACGACTGGTAGAAAATCAATCCCTTTTACGCTGAACTGACTCACTGTCACAAGCCAAGAAAAAATCTTTCTGCGTTTCTACTCTAGTAGCAATGTCCAGTATTTGAGGTAGAAAATGAAAAATTCGGGAAAATGCTTCCCATTATAATCAAATGCTTTACAACAGGTAAGCACATACAGATTTAATGCTTAATATCACTGACTTGGCCAAACACACAAGGTCATTTCTTTCTGCGAGTATAGGAAAAGACTTGAACAAATGATAATTTACCTTATGACACCATTATCAAGTCCAGTTAGGACAACGTTTTCTGAGATCGGTAGCAGACAGCTGATGGAAGGTCCTGTCTTCTTTTTTTCACAACTTGGATTCAGGATATCTGTGTGCTCTTCGAAGTTGCCCCAGTCGTAAATATACAAGACACCTAACGATGAGCCTACGACATACTTGGTTTCATTTCTAAAAAGACCACTACATGTTAATTCTGCTTCGATGGCATTTGTCTGAAACACAAAAGGCATTTGATACATTTCAGGCCAAGAATAGAAAAGCAGGAAAGAGCAAATTTGAATCGGTGAGAACGAAAACACACCAATGAAAATAATCAAGACGCACATTAAACTGCACAATAGGTGAAGAGGTTAGTCTAAAAAAAGATTTTTAGCACCGGAAAACGAGTACTTAAGGACACTTAAAAGGTTCAAGTTGGAACAGATGCCCTAACTTCAGTGACCTTTGTGAAAATTGACTGCCTTTAATGAAAATAGAGCATTTTCGAGTTACCGAGTTGGTATGTTTTCGTTCCCACCGATCCATTTATTCTCTGATAATTTACAGGAAAAGGGTTCTTGATATTAAACGACACAAAATCGAAATATTGGTAAGACTGGGTAAGAGGACATCCTACAGAGGTAAGGATGGTCTTATTAGTGGATTTTTTTGCTCCCACAATTACAGCTAAGATTCTCTAAAACAGCAGAAGCGCCAACAAACAAACCAAATTTTCCGATTAAAATAGTTCAAGTTGAAAAACCAGTGAAATTAAAGGCCTGAAGGTGCCATGTGCCTCAGTACACTTCACCTCATTTTAAAGGAGCTCCATTGTTGAAGATTTCTCTGTACTATTACAAGACTTTGCTTGATGGTTGGTTCTCTATGATTAACCATTGGTCATAATCAAATAAGAGTATTTTCAGCTCTAATTTTTCTGGTTGCTGTCAACTACAAGTCCAATCAAAATGACCCCTGGATACAACTGAAAAAACATAAATGATACCTGAACTCAAATTGTTAGTGAGTCGAGTATTATTTACAGGGTTGCCATAAAGTTTAGAAAATTACTTTTCTTGACATTTCCCTGATTTTCCTGACGTAGTTTAGTAATATTCCCTGACAATTGAGTATATGCAGTTGGTTAAAAAGACTTAATTTGATGTAGTTTTCAGGCAAAATTTGTTGCTTCAAACGTCAAACACATTCGATAGCGAATAAAGGTGACTTGACAGTTTTTTTCTGACACTTCTGTCCTTTTTCCTGATTTTTTCAGGTTCTCTGACTTTTTGGAATTCTCTGACATTTCCCGGTATTCCCTGACTGTGGAATCCGACGAACTAGATTTACAACAAACCAGATCATAAATCATTGCTACAGTAGCAAAGTGACATACTAGTAGCCATGCGCAAACGAAAGTTTGTCACACAAAAAATTTAAGCCTTAATTAGTCTTCAGGCAGAATAGGTGAGAGGCTAGAATGGTTCCATATACTTACTTGACAATCTAATTTTTTCGTGTTGAAGTTGACTGCGGTCACCACGCCTTCTCCGCTTGTGTAAGCAATTATATTACTATCTTCTTTTCCTTTAATTGAGCTAATGTAATCATCTAATTCTTTGATAGAGAAGAGTTCACTTTTGGTCCTGATGTCCCAGACTGAACGTGTAAAAGAGCAGAGATAAATTAGAGAAATTCAGCTTTGACACAAATTTAAAATCCACATTCAGAAAAAGAAATTAAAAGGCCCAGGGCAGACACTGGTTATTTTGAGTAGAGCTAGTTCCAAAGTATTAAAAGAGTATTGATCCCTCCTTCCTGTTGATTAGACAAAGATGTGTTTCAATGAGGTATGCAAAGATATGCTTCCTTTGTAGTTCCTTTTGATTTAATTCTTCTGTACATAGTTCTTTCAGGCATACATACATTTAATTAGTTGGTAGACATAATAAATGGTGAGTTGAAGATTAAGATTTAATTTTTTTTAAATTAGTATTTTAAGTAAGAAATTACCTTTGAGTACTCCAGATTGATCACCGGTAGCTATGATATTTTCTCGAAGTACTGACAGGCAGTAAATTTCATCCCTGAAAAGATTTTAACAGCTTAATTAATAACAGAATTTCCAATTACACATAATTTTTTAACAAAATATTGTGTACATACAAGAAAAATGGATAAGATACAAACATGCAGGTAAGAAAAAGAAAATAGCTCTCAGACAAAAAATAAAGCCTTCATTTGATTATTAAAGCGTCAGATGCATTTTCTTGAGTCAAAATTACTTACTGCGCCCTTTTTTTTAATTGAATGGGCCTGTTGCAAACTTTTGCAAGAGCAAAAATAAGAGTTTTTTCTTCTAGATAATGCCTCGAAAATCACGATGAGCGCATCGGCAAAGTCTGAAATGCACTCATAACTTCACAGTCTGCGTAAGAAATTTGCGGTTTTTTGAGCTTCCCGCTTCAAAAGCGATACTACGGCACAGGTGAACATTTTGTAAAAGGAGTCGTTCCATCGTCGGCAATACTCATCATGGCCGACGCCAATCCGCCAAAACACGTGTGATGGGACGGGATAATACCTGAACTGGATTAGACCAGATAACAATCGGCGTGTTTTAACGTTCATGTTTTCCACGCCCGAATTGATTGACCTTGAACTCTCCTCGAATTACGCGCGGAACTGCGCGCAAGCGTCGGCCATGATGAATATCGCCGACGATGGACGCTCTGGTCGGTCTGTCGGACGATCGTTTTTGAAGCGGGAAGCTTAAAAAAACGCAAATTTCTTACGCAGATTGTGAAGTTATGAGTGCATTTCAGACTTTGCCGATGCGCTCATCGTGATTTTTGAGGCATTATCTATAAGAAACAACTCTTATTTTTGCTCTAGCAAAAGTTTGCAACAGGCCCATTATAGGGAGAGTACAAGAAGAATAATTGGGATAAATTATTTTGAGAGTAAGATAAACTACGAGTATTTACTGCGCATCATTTCAGACTTGTCAGACATATTTTCGTGACTTTCTTTAATACTTTTCAATTATTTGAAATTTATACGAATTAAAATTGAAGTTTTCCCAATGCCTGGCTAGACCTCTATTGTGCAGTGATGCTCTACTTCGGATTCCAATAGCACTTCCTATATAAGAAAAGTATTGAAACAGTGAATACAGAACTTACTCATGGGCTTTTTCATAAAGCTGTTTCAATTTCCCGCTTTCGCTATCTGTCAGGGATATTGACTTGTCTTTAGATGCAGAGAAAATTGTGTCACCATCAGCATTAAATTCAACCGCACGGCAAGCTTTAGTATGTATTTCGTATGTTTTCACCACATCCACACTTTCAGTGCTATATTTGTACCTGCATACAACAAAGAAAAAGCATGGAATAGAAAAAAATAAAGGACCGAGCGATAAATGCTATGATTAAGTCAGAATGCACATTCGATAAGTTGGCAATTTATTTTGAACTGTAATGTGCAGTGGACTACTTTACATACCCGTGCACAAAGACAGCGTTGCCTGCTTTTATACTCCTGCCACAGATATCTTTGATTGCTTTTGACTGGCAGCAGCATAGTTGCTTGCAAATGGAAAATACTAACAGGATGAATTAATATACTAGTTCTATGGTAGTGAGAAACAATCGATCACAGAATTAAATGCATTAGCCACATAATTTAATGAAATACACTGAAAGAACTGTACATATTTACAGCAATTCTACAAACAACCCTATTACATAGTTTCAAAGAGTATTCCTCTGATACCAAGTACTCAGTACAATAATGCCCTGGCTATCCTATTATCTGTAGCAAGGGTTGCGTCTGTAATCAGAAAAGTTGGATAGCCGAAACCACCAAAAAAGACTGAAAAATGCCATTTCAGGCTCTGTTTAAAACCAGCAAGAACAAGCTTGGCCAAGTTTCTATCCTATAGTAAAACAAGGTCATTCAATTGGATAAAAACCACATTTGTACAGGGGTGCAGAATCTTTCAAGCTTCCACAATTTTACGCGCCTGCCAGCGAGCTTTCCTCATTTTTTTCCCTCGGTTTCCCACAAAATTTTCCACCAATTTAAAAAAAATATTAACTTTTTCTTTGTTTTCTAACTGACAACCCTTCCAAATTTTCCCTCCTTCCACATTTTCACGCTTGATCAGGCATTTCTGACATTTTGGGGCATGATCGGCTATGTTCTGCACCCCTGCATTTATATTCAATTTTTGCCTCAAAAACCAGTTTTTGTTGTTTAGGCTCTCTTGCTTTTGATAAAAAACAAAATTTTGACCATGTCAGATGACTGAAGCATTGGATCTTCAGGGCATCACTGTAATAGTTTTTAGTAAGATGAGGTCAATATCATGAAAGTGTGTTTTTTTTAATAAAACCACAGATTAAATTAGAGGCAGTCATTCAAGATAGAAATTTATCACCAATGATGGCAAGGAGAAAATAAATTATGAAAAGAAAGAGATTCTTACAGAATAATATCCCCGGCATTGTTTCCTGTTGCAATGATATCTGCCGCAGGGTGGAAAGAAATGTCTGTGATTAGTTCTTCGACTGTTACATCTGGAGGGCGCTCACGTTTCTTGTCTTTGTTTCTCAGAATAGCTTGGACTACTGGATCCTCCTCCTCTTCATCTTCTCCTGCTCCCTCATCTTTTTTTAGTCCTGAATAAAGTAAAAAAAAAGATTGAATTAAATGATCATAATAGATGAAATATTAGTAGGGATTCTGAGACACAGCAACAGAGAAGACCTCTTCCTGCATTCAGCTCTTCAAAGAATCAAGGGGTTTTAAAAAAAAATTATCAAAGAGAATCTCCTGCCCAAGTTTGAAATTTTTTCATCAAATCTTACTTACATTATTAAAACTAGAAGAATAGAGTCCAACCGCCCCAGCTGTTAGCCATAGCTCATTATGCGTATATTTCAAGGCGAACAATTGGACTATTGCTGAAAAACTTTAAAAAAAAAAAAAAAAAATGTGAAAGCTTTCTTCCTCTTTTTTCCTGGATATTATTGTCTGGATATGTAAGTGCTTTACTAATAAAACAGCACTTAAATATATTAAATTGATAAATGTAAAGAAAATATTTAACAATTATTAGTAATAGAGAAGAAGAGGTAGAATAATATAGTCCCAGGCAAATGCCAAACAGTGGTAAGTAAGGCGTGAATGATAGATTATCGATATTTCCCTATATGAAGCTATGGTAAAGTATCGATTATGAAGGTGTTTGTTTTGCGAACACCTAATTTATCGATCCTTTTCCATAAGTTTGAATGAGAGAAATTGATATATTGCGAGGAACGCCACGCCACTGCTGCCAAAGTTGTCTACCAGGGAAGTCTGAGGATACATCTTATGTCCTTCTACTTTTCAGATCTCTCTTCCCCTTAAACGTCTAATGACAATCTCAAGATAGGACAAATAACATTCTGGAGCAAAACAAGAACCGATTTAAGATTTCCATGGATTGACTTTAATGCTCTAGATGCACGTGCACGATGCCTTATGAATGTATAAAATTCTCTGCCTCTAGTTCTGTTACAGTTGATCTTACTTTTAGCAGAGGGTCCAGCTTCTTCTGACGATTCTGCCTCTTCTTCTTCACCATCCTCATCATCATCATCGTCCATGCTATCATCTTCATCACTGTCGTCACTATCATCACTGTCACTATCATCACTCATATCACTGTCATCAGATGGAAACGAGTCATTGTCCGAGTCATCTGAGTCAGCTGAAAACACCCCGCCCACTTCATCTTCCGAGCTGGAATCTTCTCCCTCGTTTAGAGGATTATCTGAAATGAAAAAAATGGGCAAGTTGTAAAGCACCTGGAACTGGTGTCAGATAAATTGACAGGTGTAAGCTCCTGACTGGCACACGTAGAAAAAAATTTGGCAATACCTCCTTGGAGGTAGGTACTGGTTTTCCTCCGCTATGCACAATAGCAACATGGCGTCATTACACTCAGTCAATCCTCAACCATTATTGGAAGGCAGCAGTGCAGTTGCTTGTAAACGGAAACTGCCAACTTATCTACCACAAGTGCTATGTCAAAAAATTAAACCTTTGTAGACTGTAAAAGTTTTGTTATTTTGGCTGCGGCTTACATTTATCGATAGCAGTTCAATGAAGGTGCCTTTGTGATAGACAACAGGCCTCAACGGAAATTACCCAGTGAGGGCGTTGCGAGTTTGACGATTGTTCTTGACCCCACATTGTTCAACGCTTTTTACCCGGTGAAGTGTCATGGCGGTTCAACGCTCATCGCAAAAGCTCAGCCCTTCTTGCGGCTGATGAATGGAGCATTGAGCGTTGAGGAGGTAAACAAAGTCACTTGACAGTACTCAGGCCTCAGTAGGACAGCGGGTAGGTAACTGTGCGGGTAATTCACCGAAATAATCTCTGTTGTCTATCATGAACGCATCTTTGCCCTGTTTTCCTTCAATTTGTGTGAGTAGTGCTTATGCCAAATGGAAAAGAATCGGATTATTTCAAAGAGTAAGTTTGACTGAGCTGTCCTCATTCCTAAAGCTATGAGTATCCGTCTAACTTTAGCATTAAAACTTGAATTAAGCTTGTTGCTCAAATTAGTCAGTTAGGTTTTCACTTGTGTAAAACTCAGCTGATGTTGTTGCTCCTTGAAATGGTGATTCAAACAGTTATAATTCCTTTTCAAAGTTATAAATGTAAAAACACTGTCACCTAAACCAGACCACCATTCGCAGTGAAACTACCAGACCATATATCTCGTGTGCAGTGTTTAAAAATCTCCGCTTCCATTTTAATTTCTTGAAGGAGCACAAATTAATATCATTCATTTAAAACTTTACGGAGTATTCTCCGCATAAAGTGGAAAAAATGTGGAAGTTTTCAAGAATTGACGTCGATTATTCCTCCATTTAAAAATTATGTATGATTGGAAGTCTACAGCGTGGCAAACCGAGATACGTGGTCTAGTGGTTTCACAGTCGTATTGTTCATGTTCTAGAATAACCAATTGTGCAGATTTTCAGTAATGGTTGAAAGATTCAGTAAAAATGGCTTGCAATAATACTTGAACAGCCCAAAAATCATTAATGCAAAATTTAGCCTCTAAAAATTGCCACATTTTTCAGTAATGCTTCTAAGTAATGGGTGATTTTGAGTCAGTCCGACCAGAACTAAACTTGTAAAGCAAGCAGTTGCACTCATAAAGCTACAGATTTTCCACCCCGGGATGTGAGCAAAGATCCAATTTGGCTCCAGAGAAGCGTCGAAGCATGAGCATAATTGACCGGATGGCTCCTATACCTTAAGTTTAGTTTAGAGCACTGTCGAGGTACGGGGCTTTGCAGGCTTGAGTTCATTGTATCCTGCGCAGCACGGAGCAACCAACCTACAATCCAAGGCTCCTAATCCCTAGCAGGATACTCCATTGTACTCTTCATAAAGAGTGGAGACCAAGCACATGTACACTACACATCTGAAACCCCCGTCTTGACTTGTCGTTGCATTTTCCACTGCCAGCCTGATGAAAAGTAATGACAACACACAGAAGCAAATGAAAAGTCAACGACCAAAAAATGGCAGAGAATTCCCTAGTATTCGAATTCAAATACTGCATGCTCTACTGGACCCATTAAATTCGTATCTTTCGTTGAAGACAAACGCGTGAGTTGGATGTTGGATCTACGCGGCAATTTAGTGTTCACGCGACAAATGCGCAATAAGCACGATGATACAGCGAATACACTTACCGATGAAATGCTCCGATAGAACCATGGTTTTTTGAGGAAAGCGTGGATAAAATCAATGAAATATCAATCTAGGAAACTTGTATTTCCAAGATTAATTCAAACTTCAAAGGGAGAAATCACATGCTGGATTTGTTGTGGTGTGGAATGAGGGAATGAGGAATGAATTTGGAGGTTAGAAATTAGAATTTGCTCTACATTTCCGGTTCGAGTTCAGTCTGTTCCATTCTATTCCCACAGACGGAACCGAAAATTCCGAACCGGGATTAAGGCGGGAATTTCGAAAACGCGCACGATGAAGAGCTGTGCGCTGCACAGAAGTTCAACTATGTTGCGATTAAAGTTACAGTGACGACAGAGCAAAACTTCAGCTTGACATGACCGAGTCTGATTACCGAATCGTCCCAAATACAAAATCTTGTAACTCATTGATGAAAAGTTAGTTGAGTATCATTCTATTCATCATTCAATGTTTTTTTCAAAATTTTACCATAATTCATCATGTATCTTCGTTCTATCTTTCGTCGCCAAAGTTCAAATTTTATAGCATCTATTAATGAAACTAAGACTGTAGCCACTGTGTTATAATTATACAATCTAAAAGACTATGCTATTCAAGCCGCGAAGCCAATCACAAAGTAAGATCTCTTTTTTTGTATTTTGTTCAATTTTATTAGATTTACTACTCTTGCCACACAAGGAATTTCTTTGGGCAGCATATTTTCGTGGTGATTACTGTTTTTTTTTTGTTAAACTTGTTTTATTGAATAAATAACTATCTATCTATCTATCTATCTATCCTCTCATTGTAGGTATTGAATCCTGAAATGGGTTAATCTTATAAAAATGGTTTTACAAAAGGCGAGTTATTTTTAGCTCCGCAGATTTCCTTGAATGAGTAATTGGAAATTAATTACTCATTCCTGCAATGCCTCATAATCCGATGATTATAGACCGATACAGCTTCAAATCCTACGGTATTAAACTTTATTCTGTGTGTACATGGGTAAATATTTAAATTTTGACCACTCTTTTAGGCAAGAGCCACACTCTCAACTCCAAAGAATAAACGATTCAAGATTTAAGGGTACAAAGGCACAGTACCATCACATCAATTGACCTCCAGAGCCAGACAGATCTGATAGATTCTATTGAATTATTGAATGCCATACGTAGCATGTTTTTTGGGAAACGTTTGATTGATTGGCATAATATTTCAGTTGTCTATTGGATTATAAAACCCCAGAGACTTTGAACGACTCTGATTGAATTGACTAACAAATTGTTGATTGTTAGAATGCAGACCAAAACCTTCCTACTGTTTATGTTCTTGATTTGGATCTAGCTGTTAGCGCAACTTTAAACATTTTCTAACTGTCAATTCAGACTAGAAAAAGTGCTTACATTTAAGCTCTGTCCTGATTTCCATTTATTATTTATAATTTCCACTTAAATTAGGTAAATTTTGTTTCAGTTAGTTTCAGAGAATTTCAGTCCAGATCACGATTTACTTATTTGATAAAAAATGTAACAATCTTATATTGGAAAGAAAAATGTATTAGGAGGAGCACAGGGGGAAAGAGGAAGGGTATAAATGTTTCATTTTCCCAGATTCTTTTGTACCGAATTTAGGATGAATGTTAATCAAAGATTTAAACTGACTTGACTCTTATTGTTTGGAACACAGACCATGGAAGAAATGATTTGGAGAAGGAGGGGCAACATATTCTCATTCGGTTTTAGACAATTTACATTTTGGTTTGCCTCATTTTACAATGAAATTTTACCTTGGGATGCAAAAAAAAAAAAAAAAAAAAAAA